GACATTATATTGGTTCAATAATAATATAAAATTAATGCTATGAATTTAACTGAATAAAAGAATTTTTCAAAAAATAACTGGAAGTTTTTGTATCAACCTAACATATAAGGAAATCAATCCTCTAAATTTTGCTCTTGTCTCCATTTTATTGTCTTCGTAATTTTTCTTCTCGTCTCTTTTTAAAGAAAGAAAAAGGCGAAATCTGCAGAAAATATTAATTTGTCAAAGAAATAAAGAAATATGTCAGGCAAAAAAAAAAAAAAAAAAAAATAAGACAGAGCATAAAATCAATTAGATTTGCAGAAGGTGTTATGGTCGCCATGTTGTATTTATATGAAATCAGAACGAGGCTAGTGATTTATTTATCCGCATCGTAAGGAATAATGAACAAGTCGCACGCATCCCGAGCAGGTAGAGACAATGGGTCGACTTTTTTTCTTTTTTTTTTTTTTCATTTTTTTCTCAATGCAAACTGCGCATCTAAACAGGAAGTTGATCCACGTCTTTTATTCACTAATAATAAATAATGTTTCGGGAAAGATCGTATACCCACACAGATAACTTTAAAATAAAAAGGCCAGATTTCATGCAAGATAGGTAAGTCACAACAGTGAGTCACACGACATCCATTGTCCACCCGTATCGCCGTATCGTATTTTTTTTAATGTAGATTTTTATTAAAGTTTTCTTAATTGTTTTTAACTTTTTTTCATAGTTTTCTTCACCTTTTAAATGTCGTTTTAATTACCCATTCTTATTTTTATTGCCAATAATCACGTTGTATTGCTGTTTTCTTCAGTATTTTATTCTTCTCCACTATTTTGCTATATATATATATATATATATATATATATAAAAATGCAGGATGTGTGTGTGTGTGTGTGTGTAACGAGTGCACGGCCGCAATTTTAGACGGATTTGCACCAAAATTTACATGCACATGCTCCAAGTTAGCGGGAAGGCCAAGACCGACTTTGCATTTCCCAACTCCCATCAATAGTGAAAATAGTCGATTTTTTCATGCTTCTACGGCAGTTTTCATGTAGTTTGCGGCCAATTTCTACTGGCCAGAGTGAGAGCCTATAGCTGGCTGCCACGAATAGGCAGGAAGATTCTATTGGCCAGCGTGAGAGCCAACAGCTGACTGATACGAATGTTAACTAGCATGCTAACATGCAAAAAAAATCGATAGCTGCATTCGTCACAAGTGGGAAAAATTTAAATCTGCATGGCACTTTACTCCAATTGGTTCATTCGCTTGCTTAAACTCAACGTTGATTCTGATTCCGCAGAACTGGGTGGGGTGTGAAAAAGTATTTGTTATTGACATTCTTTTTTCATTCAGTTTTTCCAGTTACGAGTCCTTTTTCTTAAAGCTGATCGTTTTGTGTTCATTTTGTTTAGTTCTTTTTTCGTAACAGATTTAATGTTTAGTATAGAGCTTAGAAAGAATTCGCAGTGTGTGATAGGCAAGAAGTAAGGCATGTAGCAACATCAGCACGGCAAAGGGCACTCCTTTAAAGGCAAGGAAGGGCAAAAATATTTTAAGTCAAGTGATAGCGATTGCTGTATGAGTCGTACGATTTTTGAATCAAGCACGGGCAACGCCGGGCCATGCTGCTTGTGTGTATATATATATATATATATAAAAAATTAAATAATATAGACAAGTTTTCTCTATTTTAAGTAAGTTTTTTTTATATTGTCTGATAAGCTGGTCTATATTATTTAATGAAAAATTGCTGCCTAAATATACGCAATTTAAAGATATATATATATATATATATATATATATATAACGTCATCTACAGACAGACTGTTTCGCAGCTCATCAGTGTGGCTAGACATCCGGTTGCCTCTAGCTAGGATCGAAACCCGACTGAATTGGTGTCAGTTGGAGATTCTAACCATTAAGCCGTCGGCGCACGGATGAAAGTGGATTTTTAGCGTATTTATTTTTAGAAACACGCCCAGTGACTGACAATGACTCAGTTCGCTATATAGCTATAATAGTCACTGTTTACCAACTCACACCTCGTCCCCAGAGAGCTCAACTGAAATTGATATTTCAGGAGTCAATATATATATATATATTCTTTACTCTCTTTCACCCATTTCTTTTTTTTTTTTAGTTAAGTAAATTTCTTTTTCCTCTTACTCGTCATCTTCATCATGTGTGGAGTAGAGTTCTATCGCCCTTTTCATAGCTTCCCCTGTCTTTTGAACAGGAGTAGAGGTTTATCCCTTTTTTCCGGTTTAGGATTAGGGTCTTGGTTCCTTCTAAAGAAGACTTCAACTCTATACTTCTAACGCCTCCACCTAACCTCTGAAATTTCATTTACTCTTTATTTGTACTTAATAGGAGTAGATAGGTTCGCCAATCTTCCGTTTCACACTCTTTTCCTATCTTTTGAAAAGGAATAAGAGATTTATCCTTTGTTACCTTCTTTAGGATTTGGTTTCCGGTCCCTTCTAAATTTTACTCCAGCCTTATACTTCT